GGGTGATTGGGAGGAATGGCCTCCCTGATTTTCACCTGAATGGTGTTCTGTTATTGGACTTCTGTGCTAAGCATGGCTTGTCCATAATGTATATCATGTTAAGGATGTTTAAGTTTAGTGTGGTCGACAAGTGTACTTGGTACCAGGCCACCCTAGGCCAAAGGTCGATGATTGATTTTGTGTTCATGTTGTCTGACCTGTGGCCTATGACACTTGGGTGACCAGAGGGGCAAAGCTATCAACTGACCACCTGGTGGTAAGTTGGATCCAYTGGCGGGGGAGGTAGCATAACAAACCTGGTAAACTTAAATATATAGTGCGGGTAAGCTAGGAATATTTGGCGGAGCCCCCTGGCCATGTGATCTTTAATTCTCACCTCTGGGAGAATTTTTCACATTTCCCAGGGGGACATGGAATCTGAATGTTCAGGGCCTCCATTGCAGATGCAGCTTCCAGGAGCTGTGGCCTYAAGGTCATTGGTGCTTGTCATGGCAGCAGRCAAAGAARACRGGTGGACACCAGTGGTGATGGAGGCCATCYGGCTAAAGAGGAAGGAGGCCTTCTAGACTTGGCTTGCCTGGAGGACTTCTGAAGCAGCTGACAGGTACAGGGTGCCAAAGAGGGTCTCTGTTTCAGTGGTTGTAGTTGCAAAAACTTGGGCATGGGAGMAATTCTMGAAGGCCATGGAGAAGGACCTTTCCCTTTCCCTGCCTGTCCCAGGCTGTACTTGGTTTGGGTGGGTAACTGCTGACCCGGACTGAAGATATTGTTGGGCGGAGGAAGGAACGCTGTYAGGATCTTCTCAATCCACCRTCTATGCTCACCTTTGAGGAGYCAGAGTCTGAAGACTCGAGGGAAGACTAGTCTATTACCATGGCAGAGGTCACTGAAGTAGTAAAAAGCTCCTCTGTGACAAGGCGCCAGGGGTGGATGAGATTTGCAARGAGTTGCTGAAGGCTCTGAATGTTGTAGGACTGTCAAGGTTGACACGTCTTTTCAAAATATCACACCTGTGCAGTGGCAGTAGTTCTCTTTTTAAGAAGAGGGACTGGAGAGTGTGTTATAACTATCATGGGATTACACTTTTCACTCTCCTCTGGAAAGTTTACTCCAGGGTGTTGGAAGGGAGGCTCTGATCAATCATCGAACCTCAGATTCAAGAGGAGCAGTGTGGCTTCTGTCTTGGTCCTGGAAAAGTGGACCAGATCTTTACTCTTGCAGAGTTGCTAAAAGGGTCATGGGAGTTTGTCTCTTTGATCTACATGTTTTGTAGACTAGTCTTGAGGCACTCAGTGGGGGTGTTGCAGGAGTATGGAGTGTCTGGGTTATTATTAAGAGTGATCCAGTCCCTGTATAACCAAAGTAGGAGTTGTATCCCCATTCTGGGAACAAAGTCGTGCTTGTTCTCAGTGCGGGTTGGATTCCACCAGGGCTGTCCCTTGTCTCCGATCCTGTTCGTAGTGTTTATGGACAGGATCTCAAGGCGCAGTCGTGGAGAGGAAGGTGTCTGGTTTGGGAACCACAGGGTCTCATCTCTGCTGTATGCAAATGATGTGGTTCTGTTGGCGTCTTCGGACCAAGACCTTTAGCATGCACTGGGGTGAGTGTGAAGTGGCTGYGATGAAAGTCAGTTCCTCCAAGTCTGAGGCTGAGGTTCTCAAGCGGAAAAAGGTGGACTGCCCCCCACCCCAGGTTAGAGGAGAGTCTCTGCCTCACGCTGAGGAGTTTAAGTGTCTGGGTGTCTCATTTACAAGTGATAGTAGAATGGAGCGGAAGATAGACAGATGGATTGGGGTCCTGTCCTCAGTAATGAGGGCGTTGCTGCGGTCTGTTGTGGTGAAGAAAGATCTGAGTTGAAACAGAGCCCATGGGATTGTTGGGGAAGGGAAAAACAGGTTGACAATGGTCCAGATGATCTGAATAAGACATTTATAATGGATTGATATGTACAGGTTGCATGACAATACCACACTCACCCCTGTAAAACACTTGCCAGATGAAGTGCATAAAAAAGTATATAAGCTGTGGGACCCTGAGAAAAGTGTGTTTGTCCATGCTGACTGTCTGTGAACAATGTGACCACCTTAATAAAACCTTATGTTGTTGACTCCTTTTTCTTGTTAAACTGAAGTCTTTAGCCTCAACACCCCACTACTTCATTTGAGTGTATTTCACATGTAATGGGTCAAATGTCTGCATTTGGCAAATTTTGAACAAATATTTTTCATTGCATGGGAACATGCATTAATGAATACAAAACCCATTTTATTTTAAATTTGATTCTTTCAGTGGTGGGCAATAAAAATAATGAAAGATTTGGGGGATAAAAACTGCTTATTGGACAGGGGCTCACTTGTCAGGTTTGAGGTCTCTGTGTACAATGCCATAATTGTGAAGGTACTCTAAAGCAAGGACGGTTTCTGCAAAATACATCCGGGCCATGTCCACAGGAAGAGGACCAATGTTCTTCAGCAGGTTGGCACAATCCCCACCTGAGAACAAAAAGATCAAACAGACAGTTAGGCCAGAGTTAGATGGATGGAGGGCAACAGAGCTTCGTGGAAGAAGAACCTCAGCTTAGCTTGTTAGCCTTTGTGCTAGCACTGATGCTATATTGCTTTATATGTATTACCTCAGCGCTAGCACAACAAACAAGCTAAACTGAGGTCCTCCATCCATATTTTCAGTT